AAAGCTAAGCCTGTCATAGAGATAATGGAATCAGGCCATCTCCTATGGAAAGATGGCTAAATTGAAGCCAGCTTTTATCAAGCCACACGGCACGGTCACTGCTGCCAATGCCTCATTCTTGGTAAGTGTGTGAAAGAGGAATGCTTTAGTATACATGTGTAAACCACAATAATATTTATATCAGTGTGCCTGCAACATGAATCATGGTCAGAGTCCATAAACCTCACACGCAATTGGTCACAGAGATCCAGTTGAAAAAAAGTCACAATGTGTGTTTTAGCTCTTAAATAGTGTTCTCTCCTGTCATCATGTTCGCTATTTCCCTGACCTATGTAGCCATACTTATTTGGAACAGTGGACCTGATAACTAAAGAGAATAAAACACTGAAGGAAAAAACCAAGTGTTGTGTCTCCAATGCCCTCAAAATGATCTTGATGCCTAAGATCTATTGGGGTTTCCCCTCCAATGTGGCAGGTATTATCTTTATAATAAAATCCAAAATGATATACTGAAAATAATTGATTTCTGACAACAAAATGATTTATATAGACACTTTTCATTAATTTACTGCCAGAAATGGTTGTGACTTAAATTTCACTAAGAACCAGTGGAATTGTTACAGCTATATTGTATCTCACAAATTTATAGCCATTCACAGAAAATGACAATCCTAGTCTATTGATTAGAAAAAAAATAGTTATGAAATTTATAATTTGTAAAATGAAATGCAGGTTATCAGGTTTATCAGTTTATTTTGTGCCATCATAAGTGTTCCCTACGGCCACATAAAATCTTTATTTTCCCCCGAATACCTACCCCCACAGCAGTCACCCAGCCGATTTTGCATTTCATTTTAACTTGAGATCCTAATGACCCAAGTTCTGTTAGAGAGCACACTGAATTGGTATAATTTTGTTAAAATTGTTTTGACGGCCACAGTCGAGTGTGTTTATAATTCTGACACTGTGTCAATGTTTGTCATTCTATCAGACTGATGGTGCATCTGCATGTTTAATAATGTCAGAAGATAAAGCTAAAGCTATGGGATATAAACCAATTGCTTATCTGAGAGACTTTGTGTATGTAGCTATTGATCCTAAAGACCAGTTACTGCTTGGGTAAGTCTCAGTTTCAATGTGACCCAACACCAAGACCTGGCCTGACCTGACCTGACAGATGGACATGTGACCTGACCCTTACCCTGAGACATGTGACCTATCCCCTTGACAGATGGACATGTGACCTGGTCCTTACCCTGTGACCTGTGACCTCACACCTTGACAGATGGACATGTGACCTCACACCATGACAGATGGACATGTGACCTCACACCTTGACAGATGGACATGTGACCTCACACCGAGACAGTTGGACATGTGACCTGACCCTTACCCTGAGACATGTGACCTGTGACCTATCACCTTGACAGATGGACATGTGACCTGACCCTTACCATGAGACATGTGACCTGTGACCTCACACCTTGACAGATGGACATGTGACCTGACACCGAGGCAGTTGGACATGTGACCTGACACCTAGACATGTGACCTGACACCGAGACAGTTGGACATGTGACCTGACACCTAGACATGTGACCTGACACCGAGACAGATGGACTTGTGATGGATATTACTGCTTCGTGGTACTATGACTTTGAACCTCTTCAGAGTTGTTGGTTTGAGTCTCACCTGTTTATGATGTGTTCATAA